CAACACCCTGGAGGAAGTCAATCGCACCCTGGGAGTAAGAAAGTTTACTGCGATGGAGTGACATGACAGGACAGGAAGGGAGTGACATGATAGGAAGGGAGTGACGTGACAGGAAGGGAGTGACATGATAGGAAGGGAGTGACGTGACAGGAAGGGAGTGACGTGATAGGGAGGGAGTGACAGGACAGAAAGGTAGTGACATGACGGAGGGAGTGACATGCGGTCTGACAGGACAGGAGAGTGACATGACTGGGAAAGTGACATCACAGGGACGGAGTGACATGACAGGACAACCATGAGGTTGAGGGTAGTATGACAAAAGTATACAGCGACGGAGTAAGTGATATGACCGCCTGAGGAGGACGGGCTTGGGAGAGACACGAAAGGGCGTGAGTTGAGTAAGTGAGTAAGTGAGTGCTTGTGGGCGTGCGGGGGAGAGGAGTGCGCCGCCCCGGTTTTTGTGCAAGAGCTGAGGCTGAATCTGGGGGGTTTAAAGGTACATGACAATGCAGAGTGTAAAGTCCGCTTTGCAAGAATGCAATGGAGATTCACCGGAGTGTTTTTTATTCTTTTTTTTATTATTATTTTTTTTTAGTGTGTGTGTGTGTGTTTGTGTGTGTGTGTGTGTGTGTGTGTGTGTGTGTCTGTGTGTCTGTGTGTGTGTGTGTAAGTGCTTTGCTGTGTCTTTGTGTGTATTTTTTTTTTTTATATCTGATATAATTGATTCACTTTGATTTACGTTCTTGCCAGTGAGTCTGATATTTGTTCGATATTTATTATTTCTGGTTGCGTTTTAATTTTAATTATTATTCACACAAATGAGAGATACCGACAGACAGACAGAGAGTGTGTGTTGTATATACATGTACGTATATATGTACGTACGTATGTATGTATATCTATGCATTCCCAAATATCTCCCCCAAATCCCCTGACTAACCCCCCTCCCTCTCCCCCTCTCCCCCCACAGCCAGAATCTGCAGAGCCTTCGGGAGCCCCTCTACAAGGAGGAGCTCCAGGCGACCCTCGAGCCGTCACAGGTCAGCTCTCCTCGAGCCCGGCCAGCTCTCCAAGGGCCCCAAACTGCTCATCATTATGGACAAGAACAGCTACGAGCATAACTGGTGAGGAAAAGAGATATATGTATTGTTTATTTATGTTTGTTGTGTTTGTTTTGGGTCGTGTGTCTGTGTTTGTTTTGTTTTATTTGTTTATGTATTTGTTTATATATATATCATTTATTTATTTATGTATTTATTTATTTGTTTATTTATTTGTTTGTTTGTTTGTTTGTTTGTTTGTTTGTTTAATTATTTATTTGAATTTTCTCTTTATGTATGTCAGTGGTTGCAGAGAACCACAAAAAATAAAAAATAAAAATGAAACGACATACCCAAAACTTCACCAGAAAACCCATCCATTCTCCTCGCTTCCCAGTCAGAGAAACACTTTAAAAATTCCCCTTTATTCCCTTATTTATTTTCCCCTTCCCTTTCTTTTGACCCCGCCTTCCCCTCCGGCAGGTCGCACCACAACGAGTCGGTCCAGGGCGCCGACTTCCTGGTGGCGGCGTGGTGGTCTCAGTGCCTCAGCTGGAACAACACCGCGTGGTCGCATAAGGATTGCGCCGTGGAGGGCAATCTCTCGACGTGGGACCTCACGACGTGCAGGTAAATTTGCTGGGTGGGAGGGGAGGGATGGGAAGGAAGGGAGAGGAGGGGAGAGGGAGGGAAGGAAGAGAGGGAGAGGGGGAAGAGGGAATGGGAGGAAGGAAGGGAGAGAGGGAAGAGGGAAAGGGAAAGGGTGGGAGGGAGGGAAGGAAGAGAGGAGGGGAGAGGGAGAAGAGGGAAAGGAGGAAGGATAGGAGGGAGCGGTGGGGGAGAGGGAAAGGTAGGGAGGGAAAGGGAGACGGAGTAGGGAAAAGGAGGGAGGGTTGGAGGGAAAGGGAAAGGGAGACAGGAGGAGGGAAAGGACGGGACGGGACTGAATGCTTACAGAAGGGTATGTCCTCACTTCTATAATATCCAAAGAATAAAAAAAAAACAAAAAACTCAGACATCTAAGACATCTCTTATATCCACCCTCACTAACACCCCCTCCCCCCTCCCCCCTCTCCTCGCAGCTGCCACACGACCCACAGCATCTACGGCGCGCACACGGTCCCCATCCTGAGCAAGGAGAGCACCGTCGCCCGTCAACGACCTGATGCTGGTCGAGACGTACATGGCCCTCTACTTCATCGTGTTGGTCCTCGTCTTGTACTTCGTGCTCGCCCTCGGCCTCCAGACGTCCGAGCGGCACCGGCTCAAGCGGAGGAACATCTGGCTGAGGGACAACGACCCGGGGCACGAGTGGGCGTATCTGCTCACCATCAAGACGGGGACGCAGTGGAACGCCGGCACGACGTCGAAGGTAATTGGAGGGGACTTCTTGGAGGCGATCGGCGACGTTGGGGGGAGGGTGGGTTGTCTTTTGTTTTGTTTTCATTTCTTTGTTTGGTTTTCATTTCTTTGTTTGTTTCATGTCTTCTTCTTCTTTTTTCATTTGATAAAGAAAGGTAAACACTTTTTTTGACACGATAGATGACGTTGGGGAGATGTTTATTACTTTTTTTTTTTTTTTTTTACTTCGATGAACGTGTTTATAACGTCAGAGATAGAGGAACAACAAATGAAATAATACATTTCTTATTAAAAGAAGGAAAAGATAATCCTCACCCTCCTTCCTTCCTCTCTTCCTCTCCATTCTTCCTCCCTCCCTTCCTTCCTTCCTCCTTCCTTCCTTCCTTCCTCCCTTTCTTCTTCCTTCCTTCCTTCCTCCCTCCTCCCTCCCTCCTCCCCTCCCTCCCTCCCTCCTCCCTCCCTCCCTCCCTCCCTCCCTCCCTCCCTCCCTCCCTCCCTCCCCCCCCCCCCTCCCCCCCTCCCTTCCTTCCTTCCTTCCCTCCTCCTTCAGGTCTACGCCATCGTCCACGGCACCCACGGCATGAGCGAGACGAGGGAGCTGCAGTCCAAACAAACCGGCCAGCTGTTTACGCGCGGGGCCCTCTGCACCTTCATCCTCACGTGAGTTTCGCAGGGAGAGAGAGGGAAAGGGAGGAGGGAGTGGGAGAGGGAGGGAGGAGGGGGGAGGGAGGGAGGGAGAGAGAGGGAGATAGAAAGAGGGAGGGAGGGTTAGAGAGAGCGAGAAAGAGGAGGGTGAGAGAGGAAGGAGGGAGAGAGAGAGAGGGAAGGAGGGAGAGAGAGAGGGGAGGGAGAGAGAAAGAGGGAGGGGAGAGAGAAAGAGAGAGGGAGGACGAAAGAGAGAGAGAGAGAGAGAGAGAGAGAGAGAGAGAGAGAGAAGAGAGAGAGAGAGAGAGAGAGAGAGAGAGAGAGAGAGAGAGAGAGAGAGAGAGAGAAATTGAGATAGAGAGAGAGTGAGAGTGAGACCAAAGAAAGAGAAAGGCAGACAGACAGAAAGAGAAAAAAGTTAGACCAAGGGAAACCTCAGCCAATCCTTTCCCATTCAGAACCGACCATCATCATTCCACCCCCACCCCCACCCACACCCCACCCACCCGCACCCCTCATCATAAACCACAACCTAACCCCCCTCCCCTTCCTTCCCTCCCCCCCACAGGACAGCGGAGCCCCTGGGAGACATCCTGAAGGTGCAGCTGTGGCATGACAACAGCGGAGGGAGAAGCGCCGGGTGGTACGTGTGCGAGACGAGTGTGGTGGACCTCGTGCTGGGGGGAGGTACGCCTACCCGTGCTACCGCTGGCTGCCGTGCAGGCGGAGGATGCCAAGGTGGAGCGAGAGATCACCTTGGAGAGCCCGACCACCTTCTTCCAGGTGAGGGGCGTGAGGGCGTGTGGGCGGCGTGTTTCTTTTTCTGTTATGTTTTTGTTATCGATAGAGAGAGATTTTTGTATTTGTTTTTGCAACCATAGAGATTTTTTTTGTTTTTGTCCTGTTCTGTTATGTCATTCTCAGAGAGATTTTTTTTTTTGTTTTTGTTTTTTGTTTGGCATCCTTAGAGATTTTGTTGTTCTTTTATGTTTTTGTCACCCTTAGAGAGATATTTTTTTTTAGTTTTTGTTTTTTTCACAATCTAGGTGTTGTTTTCCGTGATATTCGGCCTACAGTGACAGAAGCTAAAACGACTTGTTTATTTGTTCGCGTGATTTCCGTAACGATTTCCCTTCTTTTTTTCATCTGCAGGATTTCGAAACACTTCCTGCCCCAGTACGCCAGCGAACACATGCTCTGGACGTCCCTGCTGACCACGTCCAGCACCGCCAAGTTCTACAGGCTGCAGCGGCTGACCATCTGCCTGATCGTGTCTCTGTCTCGGCACCATATCGCTGGCTGTTGTGCAGGTAAGATGGGAGGGATAGAGAGGGAGGGTGAGAGAGAGAGAGTGAGTGAGTGAGAGAGAGTGAGTGAGTGAGTGAGTGAGTGAGTGAGTGAGTGAGTGAGTGAGTGAGTGAGTGAGTGAGTGAGTGAGTGAGTAAGTAAGTAAGTAAGTAAGTAAGTAAGTAAGTAAGTAAGTAAGTAAGTGAGTGAGTGAGTGAGTGAGTGAGTGAGTGAGTGAGTGAGTGAGTGAGTGAGAGAGAGGAGAGAGAGAGAGAGAGAGAGAGAGAGGAGAGAGAGAGAGAGAGAGAGAGAGAGAGAGAAAGAAGAAAGAGGGGGGGGGTAGAGAGAGAGAGTGAAATAAAGAAAGAAACAGAGACAGAGAGGCAGAGAAAGAGAAAGAAAAAAGATCCAGTGACATATATTTTCCATTAACCTAAACAAACTACATAATCTCCTCATCTTTATAAACCTCGTGTCATTTCTTCATTAATCTCACCATTTCCTCTCCTCCCTCCCCCCCCCTTCCCCCTCCCCTTCCCCTCCCCCTCCCCCCTTCCAGAGAATCAACACCGAGCACACCATGATGGTTCCTGACATGCACATCGAACCCATGTACTACGGTTGCATCATCGCCATGGCTCTCCTGCCGTGCAATGGCTGCTGGAAATGGTCTTCAAGATGAGCAACAGATTGGTGAGTAAAATGAGGTGCTCTTGGGTGGTTTTTGGGGGGAGGGGGGTGTTGGGGTGTTGGGGGCGGAGTTGGGTTTATGTTTGGTTTGTTTGTGAATTTTGTGGGTTGATGGGGAGGGTGAGAGTGTTGGGGTGGTGGGAATTGGTGTTAGGGAGATTTGGGTCGGGTATTTTTTATTTATTTTGTATTATTTTTGTTTTTTTGTTTTTGTTTGCTTGTTTGTTTGTTTCTACGTTAATCTGTAGGTTAGGCAGAAGGAAAAACCTCTTGGTTATAAAACATGCTGACATAAACTATTTATTTATTTATTTATTTATTTTTTTTATGTTTTGTTCAGGAGGAGAAGGAGTACAACAACAAGTCGATGCTGGACACGCTGCGGGCGACGCGGGAGAGCGCGCGGCGCCCCCCCGAGGGGCGACGGCGACGGCGACGGCGAGAGCGACGCCGGGCTCAGCGACGAGGAGAGCGAGCTGTACAACCCCAACTCGAGCACGTGGCCGCCCTGGCCAGGTGGGCGCAGACGGTGGAGCTCACCAACGCCCACCTGAGCCTGCTGCAGGACAAGGACATGGACGGCATGCACGTGACGCAGCGCTCGCGGACGCCCAACGCCGCCCCGAGCGAGGGCCCGCCGGAGGAGGCGCTGGGGCCCGCCGACTCCGCCGCCCGGTGCGCCGAGGGCAAGGCGCGGCCCCTGCCCGCGGGCGGCGGCCGCGACGCCGCCAAGAAGTGCTCGCCCACCATCTTCGAGTTCCTGGCGGAGCTGCGGCGCGCCTTCGCCTGCCTCGTGCGGATCCTGCTCGAGGGGCGGAGGGCCAGGTGCAAAGGCCGGGCGCGGCAGGAGGACGAGGCCGGCTGGGAGGCGGACGAGGACGAGGACGAGGACGACGAGGGCGAGGGCGGCGAGGGGCGGGCGGCGTCCAGCCTGACCTTCATCTTCTCCCAGTGCGTCGGCTGGATCGTCTGCTGCTTCTTCGCCGGTGAGTCGCCGGAATCTTTCAAGTATTGGTCAATATGACTCCATATAACGATGAGAGAGACAGACAGACACAGACAGACAGAGACAGAGTGAGAGAAAGAAATTCAGCTGACTCCGTTCTTATTTCCAGCGATGTGCTGCATGGTCCTCGTCGTCAGAGGCTCGAGAATGCCAATGGACTACTGCGCCGTGTGGCTTCACATTATCTACATGACCTTGTGCTTTTCGATGTTCGTCATGCAGCTCTGGTCGTGGTCATATACACTTTATACAAGGTACACGAGAGAACCCCTTGGGCAGAGCACTTAAGTCTTGTGCAATTTGGCAGGAGAATTGCTTGTACATCTGTGTGTGGATGTCGCATTGGGTCGTGAAAACGTATATTTGGATACCGGAGTGGATCAGTGTGGAGCTTATGGCCCCTCTATTTTGACAGGTGTGCATGTACCGTGGCTCGGGTGCAGGGGGTGCATCAGCGACTGCGTGACCGTGCCCTTGGACCAGGTCGTGGCCATCTGGAACCGCTACCAGACCGTTCTGCGCGGATACAAGGAGCGGAGCGAGGATATGAGTAACGAGAAGCGTAAGTTGTTTTTATTTGTGTGGGTTGGAGGGCGCGTTGTCTGGCCTGAGGGGTAAGCTTGTTTTTTATTTCCCAGAGTTGTATATGCTTATATGCTACTGTTTTTTTATAGAAAAGTGTAGAGGGTTGAGATTTTAAGCCTGAGAGAAGGGTGAAGTAACTTTATTGACTATCGATTGACGAACAGAATTGTCTTGCATGCAACAGACGTGGCGGTGTTTGTTTATTTATCCGTCCATTCCCTCCCCCGCAGTGCTGGAGGAGCGGCAGCGAACGCGGGACCTGCGCTTCGCCCACCCGCCCGGCGAGGACTACCTCCTGCGCTGCGGGAGAAGGAGGCGCAGCGGGACAAGGTCTCGAGCCTCTTCCAGAGCGTGCTGGGCCTGGTGCTCATGCTGGCGCTGCTGCTGGTGATCGCCAGCAACTCGAACGTGTCGGAGCGGTACATGCTGAACGCCTCGACGCTGACCGCGCTGGAGAACGGGAGCTGCCTGGACCGCGAGAAGTACCAGGGCAGCTGCCACGCCCCTACGGCGAGGAGTGCAACCTGACGGAGAACGAGGACTACATGCGCTTCCGCTCGATCGTGACGAAGGAGGACTGGTGGAAGTGGGCGTCGTCGGAGCTGATCGCCCTCGCCTACAACGCCGACCGCGCCTTCTCGCAGTTCGGCGTCTTCTGCGACTCGAGCAGCGTGCTGATCGGGCGCCCGCGCATCCGCAAGTACGACATCAACCCCGAGGAGTGCGAGGCGGCCAAGTACCTGGTGACGTCCAACCGCTCGCTGGCCGACCTGCTGCACGTCCAGTCCTGCTTCCCGGAGTACGTGGACAACGTGTCGCACGTGTTCAGCTTCGGCTCCAACCAGAACAAGGAGTACCAGTGGGACGCGCACTTCCTCGCCGTCAACTACGGGAAGTTCAGTCAGTACAGCTACACTGAGCACCAGCAGGACCTCCCGAGCTCGCCCGCGTTCGCAGTCTTCCTGCTGATCCTGCTAGAGGCGTCGCACTGGATCAACGAGCAGGCAACGCGCGCCGTCGTCACAGAGATGACCTTGTATCACCCGCAGACGGACCTGTACACGGCCATCAACCTGCTGGCCGAATTCCCGTCCCTGTCCGGCGCCCAGGTAAGGAAAACCCTCCAACGTAAACAGAAATTCAGGTCATCACTTCAGTTAATCACTCGTGGGATCATCTACTCATTTTAATCCCTCGTTGAAAGACAATCGATAGCCAATAAACATAATGTCCATTTTTGAGAGCAATCAATAGTAGACAATGAACACCAGCGTCCGCTTTCAAGGTGACGGTGCGAGTGTCGTCGACCGCCGTGGAGCGCTACCGAGGGACCTGGTCGCTCGTGTGCATCATGGCCGAGGTCGTCCTGGTGGCCGTCTCCATGCACTACCTGTACCGCACCACAATCTACGTCTACAAGTGCCGCCTGAAGTACGTTTGGGAAGAACCTTTGCTGATAAAAAGGAACGTCTTTGTTTTTCATAAAATCTGTAATCATTTTGTAGCTCGATTATAGAACTGATATTAAGACGTTTTCTTCCCGATTGGCAGGGTCTGGAAATCCTTTTGGGGATTTTTGGACATACTGATGACGATCTTGAGCTGGAGTTACGTCGTGTCCCTCATGCTGCGCGTCCACATAGCCGAGTACATCATGTGGCAGTTGAGAGTGGCTTACTTTCAGAAGTATGTCAGTCTCAAAAGCCTCACGACATGGGACAACGTGAGTGATCGACGAGTTTCTGTTTTCATTCACAAATGTTGGATCTATTTATGTGTTTTTGGAATAAGTTCATGAGAGTTCACTACTTTTTCTTTTTATTATGAATTTCATTTTCAAATATTTTTATTTGTTTATTAAGAGAGAAACGTTCCTCATTTTTATTTTAACAATTCATATATTTTATGTTTAAAGCACAGAAACCCCAACATATTCCATTTTCTCTTTACAACATACCTCCAACACACCCACACGGTCCTCCTTTATGTTGACTCTCATTCTTATGTTGCAGATCTTGGAGTCCCTGGTCGGGGGGATGCTCCTCGTCCACATGATCAGGTGTATGAGGATGATGAGGTACCTGTCGTGTTCCGAACGCCTCGGCCACGTCCTCAACGGGGCTGCCAAGGACGTGCTGGTCGTGACGTGAGTGAGAAAGGCTTTTTGGTGTCTTTGAATTGTGAGGAATTTAATTTGTTTATGATTATAATGGCGTGGTAGTAGGTGGTGTGTGATTTGTTTATATTTAATATTTTTTACTTCTAATTACGTGATGGTAGTTTGCGTGTGTGATTTATTTATATTTATATACTTTTTATTTACGTGACTGTAGTTTGCGTGTGATTTGTATATATATATGTTTTTTTTTTTACTTATCTAATGACTTGATGGCCGTTGGTGTGTGATTTGTATATATTTATTTATTTTTCTGTCTTCTCTCCACGTAGGGTGATGCTGCTGGGGCTGTTGGTATGCTGTATGCTCCTGGGCTACTTGTGGTTCAGTTCGCTGCTGTGGGAGTTTCACACGGTCCTCGAGGCCTTCCTCAGCCTCGTCAGGATCATCCTGACCACGTGCCCTTCATCCCGAGTGAGTGCAGGGGGGGGGGGGGACTCGGGTTCAGGGGATACACGCGGAGACACAAGCACGCATATACATACTCATACGCATATATACACACAGGCATATATATATACACATACACATATATATACTCATACACATATATACACACAGACATATATATCACATATACAACCTCTCATACATACATAGACAAACACGCACACGCACACGTATTATTTTAACATATTTTTTTACGTATTATAACAATTATTTTCTTTATAATTTAACATATACTCTCATATTCTAAGACCATTCGCGCATTTTATCATATTTGAGAACATTTTCGCATCTGAACATTAATTTTCCGTATTTTAATCATATCTTTTTCGATTTCCCGAACAAAAGACCTGGAAAGCAAGACGAACGGCTACATCACAAGCCTGGGTTACCTCTACTACCTGCTCACGTACGTCCTTCTGTACCAGCTGACGAAGGCGCTGTACAAGGCGGCTTTCATCCACGCCATGAAGTCCTACGTGGCGATACCAGGGTAAGTCCCCGTGTAATTAAGTCCCACGGAATGTTATTAAGTCTCAGAAAGTGTAATTAAGTCTCAGAAAGTGTAATTAAGTCTCTGAAAGTGTAATTAAGTCTCAAAGTGTAATTAAGTGTCAAAGTGTAATTAAGTCTCAAAGTGTAATTAAGTCTCAAAGTGTAATTAAGTCTCAAAGTGTAATTAAGTCTCAAAGTGTAATTAAGTCTCAAAGTGTAATTAAGTCTCAAAGTGTAATTAAGTCTCAGAAAGTGTAATTAAGTCTCAGAAAATGTAATTAAGTCCCACGAAATGTAATTGAGTCTCAGAAAGTGCAATGAAGTCCCGTGGAAAGTAAGTAATTCCCACGAAATGTAATTAAGTTTCTGAAAGTGTAATGAAGCCCATGGAGTGTAATCAAGTCCCACGAAATGTAGTTAAGTCTCACAAATATGATTAAGTCCCGAAAAAATGTAATTAAGTCCCACGGAATGTAATTAAGTTCCACAAAATAGAATTAAGTCCCATAAAATAATATTAAGTCCTACAAAATAGATATAATGAAGTCTCACAAAATGATATAATTAAAACCACCAAAATATGATTGTCCACAAAATATAATTATTGAGGTTTCCGTGTACCAGATTAGTTAAATAGCTTACTACGGTACTGAATTTACGAGTTTTTAATAACTGGAATGAGAATTTGAGGTTTGAAATGAGTAAATGGAGATTGGTCATGTAAATCCCGTGTTTTTTTATTTATTGAATTTCAGCTTACATTTATCTTCATTTTATATCAATGTATTTTATTTGATTTCACCGTGTATATTAGTTTATTTCACCGTGTGTTTTATTTTGTTTCATAGTGCAATTATTTCTTTTCATCTTAGCGTGCATTTCACCTTATTTCACTATGTATTCTATCTCATTTCAGCGTGTATTTTTATGTCATTTCAGCGTGTATTTCTATCTCATTTCAGCGTGGACGTCGCGTGGAGGGACATCAAGGTATATGCGAAGGAAAGATTTCAGTCCTTCCTGCGGTTCATTCAGAGGAAAGAGGAGGTGGTGGATGAGCCGAAGGATAACACGCCCCGGTAAGAAAGAGTTGCTTGTGGCGGTTGTCTTTGTGGGAGGAAATGGGGGGGGATACTTGGAGGGACTTTGTGTAATGGGGTTGATGGGGTTTTTTGTTATGTTCTATGGTTGTTATTTGCTGTCATTTTCTCTCTCTCTCTCTCTCTCTCTCTCTCTCTCTCTCTCTCTCTCTCTCTCTCTCTCTCTCTCTCTCTCTCTTCTCTCTCTCTCTCTCTCTCTCTCTTCTCTCTCTCTCCTCTCTCTCTCTCTCTCTCTCTCTCTGTCTCTCTCTCTCTCTCTCTCTCTCTCTCTCTCTCTCTCTCAATTACACTCACTCACTCACTTTCTCTCTCTCTGCCCCCCGGACTTCTACATGGCAGAGTTGGAGCTGCAGATCAACCAGATCTTGGGCGGCCTCGACAACCTGGCCGAGTCCCTGGGGATCGTGACGGAGCGCGTGGCCGAGCTGGACGAGGACGAGGACGACGAGGACGACGAGGAGGAGTCCCGGGACAGCCACGGCGACGGTGATGACGACGCCGACGAGGAGGAGCAGGTGAGTCGAGGCGGGCGGGCGGGCGGAGGGTGTGTGGATTCGGGAGTGGAATAGGATGTTATTGGCGCGTGTGGTGTTCATGTGGTGTTCTTGTGGTGCTAAAAGCCGGTCTGTTCTCTCGCCTCAGCCGTTCCCAGACCGCGGGCGGGACTGGCTGGCGGAGGGCTTCCTGCAGGGGAAGGTGAAGAGCTCCACGCCCAAGACCGAGCTGGACGTCATCCTGCAGCCGCTGCAGAAGAAGGTGCAGGAGCTGCTGGACCAGGCGGAGAGCGGCGAGCGGGAGCCCTTCGCCGGGGCGGGGGCGGCCGACGACAGGCTGGCGGAGGCGGAGAGCGCGCAGGACTCGCCCTTCGAGACGTCCTTCAACCTGGACGCCTTCACGGACATCGCCAGCTGCCAGACGGAGATCGAGGCCATCACGCGCTCGTGGAACCTGAGCGCGCTGCCCGGCGACCCCGCCGCCAGGACCTGGGCGCAGGACGACGGCGGCCAGCTGGCCAAGTTCCTGAAGGACGTGTCCGTGTCGGCCGCCTCCGACGAGTCCCTGCAGGCGTTCGGCAAGTACGGCAAGACGGTGGGCAAGCTCAAGGCCGTGCCCAGGCTGCAGCCGAGCCACGAGAGCCTGGCCGCCGCCCTCAGGAGCCACAGCACGAGCGCCGCCTCCGACGCCAGCAGGATCCGTTCGGTGTCCTCCTTCGCGGACAACGGCGGCGGTCAGCAGGAGCAGGCGGGAGGGCGGCCGCGCTCGCACACCAGCGCCGCCGCCGCCGCCGCGCAGCAGGAGGGGCAGGCGCACGGGTCGTCCGTGGCCATGCTGGGCTCCAGGCTGCGGAGGACGCAGACGCAGGGGCGGGGCAAGGGCCACGTCGACGTCCTGGACATCGAGAGTCTGATCCTGGACAGCGAAGAGGGGAGTGAATACTAGGCTTCGGGGTTTCCGCGAAGCAGAACCGCGAGCTCCGGGTTTCCGCCGAGGAGCCGCGACCCCAGGGCTTCGAGCTTCAGCAAAGGCGGCAGCGAATGCGACCTCGAGCGTCGGAACTTCAGATGGAGGAAGACACATCTGCTGATACCCATATTCTTTCATGCAACTGCAGTGCCTTGCTCTATTGACAGATGTATCACCTTTATTTTTAGGCTTAAGCAGAAATGTTTATTTTTCAGAGATTGGGATTACAGTTTTTATGCATTCCTCATTTATTCGAACTTCAATGGTAAAAAGTCTTTTTTTGTTTGAATGCCATCATCAAAACTACTGTTCTTTCATTATTGATCAAACAGTGCCTTATAAACCTGCTAAATTTTTAATGGTAACGTGAATTAATTAGTGTAATTGAGCAGTAAAGATACGAGAATTATACGTGCATACTAGTCTGTGTGGGAATGATTTTTGTACCGTGTTCATTGTTGGTCAGTATTGCATAATTTTCGGGGAATTGTGAAATAAAACGAAACATATTTCATTGTATATTATTTCCATCCTGTGGCCTGAGTTGTTCCTGGAAATGTAGTGAATACACTTTCATTTTCTTTATATTTTCTTCGTGTATCAATATTTGCTTAAGGAATTTGCCTGGTAGTGAGTAATCAAAATATATATTTTATCATTTTACTCAAGTACATCAGCATGTTAAATTGCAGTGATATAGACTGCATCTCTTTCACTAGATAACTAACGGATAATTTACATTCTTAGTAATATATTATTGATGATGAAATAATTACAGAATTTACTAAATATATAAAAAGTTTATTCTGTAATGATTCACGGGTTTTAACTTTTTTTTTTCTACAAAATAAGTAAGCTGGGAAAAAAATCAACCGAAATTACAGGCACTGACTCCGCAAAACAAAGGAAAACTTAGATATTCAAACTCCTTAACTTTAACGACAAAGCGAAGTTGTGTTTAATCCTATAAAAAAAAAAAAAAAAAACTTTTATTTTTCCTGAAGGTTGTCCCAATTCAAACTTTCCTGCGCGAGATTTACTACTGCCCCCATACCCCTTCCCCACTCCTACTCTCCCGACCCCCCCCCCTTATCCCCTACCAACCCAAAGTCCTGGACCCCTCCCTACTAATTCTCTATCCCATACCCCTACAACCCCATTCTGTAACCTCTACAACCCCCTCCCTTAACCTCCAACAACCCCCATCCCTCCCACCAACCCCTTACCCCCTCCAACCAACCCCTTCCCCTTACCCCCAACCATCCACCTCCCTTACCCTCCAACCCACCCCCCATCACCTAACCCCCAACCCTCATTCCCTCCCCCCCCCACTCCCATTACCTCCAAGGCTCCCCCATTCGTCACGGAAATTAAACGTTGGTGAAAGTGTGAAATACTCAGAATCCTTCGCATGTGGGCGTGAAATCCTTAATGGCAGGAGACAGGGGGGTGGGGGGTGGGGGTGGGGGGTTGGTCAACACATCATTTACATAATCACGAGTCCTTAATGACTTCTGTAATCCTGGAATGCTTGTTGAGTGTGAAGGGAGGATTAGGTAATCATGGAATGTTTGTGAAGTATGAGGGGAGAATTTAGGAATCCTGGAATGCTTGTAGAGTGTAAAGAGAAATTTTTGGAATCCTGGAATGCTTGTAGAGTGTGAAGGGAGATTTTGGGAATCCTGGAATGCTTGTAGAGTGTGAAGGGAGATTTTGGGAATCCTGGAATGCTTGTAGAGTGTGAAGGGAGATTTTGGGAATCCTGGAATGCTTGTAGAGTGTGAAGGGAGATTTTGGGAATCCTGGAATGCTTGTAGAGTGTGAAGGGTAATTTTGGAATCCTGGAATGCTTGTAGAGTGTGAAGGGAGATTTTGGGAATCCTGGAATGCTTGTAGAGTGTGAAGGGAGATTTTGGGAATCCTGGAATGCTTGTAGAGTGTGAAGGGAGATTTTGGGAATCCTGGAATGCTTGTAGAGTGTGAAGGGAGATTTTGGGAATCCTGGAATGCTTGTAGAGTGTGAAGGGAGATTTTGGGAATCCTGGAATGCTTGTAGAGTGTAAAGAGAAATTTTTGGAATCCTGGAATGCTTGTAGAGTGTGAAGATGGAATTTAGGAATTTAGGAATGTTTGTAAAGGGAGAATTTCGGAATCTTACATAGGAATTTAGGAATGTTTGTGAAGTATGAGGGGAGAATTAAGGAATCCTGGAATGCTTATAGTATGTGAAGGGAGAATCTAGGAATCCTGGAATGCTTATAGAGTGTGAGGGGAGGAATTGGTAACCTTGGAATGCTTGTAAAGGATGAAATTAAGATCATCATCGTCATTTCTGTTCATTTTATTTATAAAACATAACTTACAAATGAATTCAAGTTTGGAACATGTACAGATAGAAAAAATATATCTCAAAATACAATATATATTCCCAAAAAAGCATCTTTTGGTGCTAAAAGAGAACATAATTGGAACATGTGCAGGTAGAAAAATATCTCAAAATATATATAATCCTAAAAAGGAAAAGAAAAAAAAATGTTTAGAGAGAGGTGTAAGATGCCTTACCCTCGAGAGATTCTGGCAACACTGTAACTATTCTATTATCTTCCTATTAACCTTCTTTGTCGATCTGGTAATATTTTGGCCTCTTCTCCGCAAAACACCATCTGGAAAAAATAGAAAAAAGACAATATTAGAAAGATGTTGACCTTGAAGACGATAAATTTGCTGCAAACTCCATCAAAGTGGGAAAAAAATACACTGACGAATCAGCCACTTCATAAACCTCCCTTTACAGAATCAAGAAAAAAATAATAATCCTAACCATGAATAAATATATAGCTATATCTATTTCTATCTTCATATTTATATATAAATACCTATAGATATAGCTAGATGGATAAACAAAATCGTATTCGGAGAAGGACTTCATTGAAAGCTTCATAAAACAAAACAAACATAAACATCAACGCACACACAACAAAACAAAACCGTAACC